TCAGTCTGTAGCAGTGCTAGTGGGCTAGCAGTCCTAGCTTCAGGCTCGTATCTGGGTTAGGCGTCGTACATGTCGATAGCGGCAGCTGCTTCTCTCTGGTCGTCTAAGGCTCGGGTAAAGGTAGTCCCTTCACGCAGGATGCAAGAAACAGGCCGACGGGTCAAGGCTAAGAGCCAGTCGCAAAGGAAAGCAGTGTTGTATATTTGCTCAGTGTGCTTATTGGGCTATGTCATATTAATTTTGGGGAGCTGGTCTTTGTCTGAGATTTGTGTGAGAGTTACTCTGCTGAGTATTTGGTTGAGTTTTTTCGCTTCGGTAATTTCACCTTTGTGGCTTTCAAAGAATTCTACCCTAATGTAGTTGGACTCATCTGCAGGTTATGTCACGGGTAGATTCTTATTTCCTGGAAGATTATTATTTCGTATCTCATTTATTTTAGCTTTACCTCATCTTCTGCCATATTATTTATTCCTACTCTCATCTCTTTATGGGTTGGTGATGTATTGTATTGTATTGTATTCTGTCTTCTCGTTTTATCTGATCTTGTGGGAATCATTTTGACTTACATGTGCCACACCTCCGTTTTCTTTATTGTCATGATACTTATTATAGGACAATTTAACCATCGCAAGTAATTCAAAATTTTCTCTAAAATCACGGATTGGTCCATTTCCTGACCAATCGCGTATTTTATTATCTTTTCTATATTTTTGGCGCCAAGACATCCGGAGCCTAAAACTTGTTATATAAAGACTCTCGCTGTTTGCCAACAAAGTAGCAGTAGCAGTTCAATTCTTGGAAAATAAGGCACGGCGCTATACTGACATTTTTAATTCTTAAAGGGAAAACCTGTTGAAACGTATAGTATAGTAACGAGCGGGACAAAACTATTGGATCACGTGACCTTTTCATAATAATGTCAATTCAAGCTTACCATAGCCGAAAAGAAGGAACGTGTTAAGTAAAAAAAATAAAATATAATTTTAAATATAGAATAGTGCAACTATATTAATTAATCTTATCAGTTTGGGATTTTCTGGAACTGGTCAATGCGACTATACTAAGTTAAGACTTATTATGGTCAACAGCATATATCCATACCTCTATGCTACCTCCCCTGAATACAATGAACTCTTGAACCATGCATATCTGAATATAACGGTATAACCTCTCCCCATCTCATGGGCAGGACGAGCTCTTTAGTCTTGGTTGACAGTCTTCCAAGAACTGGTAACTTGAACAAAATTGATTGCCCCTTGGCGGCCAAGGATAAAATGCAAAAAATTACAACTCTCAATGATTACGAACAAATATTCATACCGGATCGGCCGTCATCCGGGTCAACAAGGGCCGCGTACCTCAAAGAGGAACCAGACTGGGACCGAAAAATCTGTTACTAGAACAAACTCTTCCAACAACGAAGAGTCACTTGGTCACCAAACTCGGACTATTTCAAACCTTGGACCAAGTGACTCAATGCCAAATCAACTAATAAAAAGAAAGCGAACAAAATGGTCTCGCGAAGAGTATCAACAAATCATGACATCCTTTTTTACCGCACTCAAAAATCTACAAAAGAATGCTACGGATCAGACATACCAAATATGGAGAACTATGGTAGAAAGTGGAATAAGACCCCATCTCGACCCAAACGAGGGACATCGTGCGAAACAAAAGACCCTGAAATGTAGAACTAGATTGTAGTGGTGCTGTAAGTATTGTTGGCTAGGGTCACCGTGAATATAATAAAGAAGGAAGGCTGTGTTCTTGTAAAACAACACCCCACATGAATAATGCACAACAAACACGAGAGAAAAATAATCAAGCTCAGTGAACATTAATAAAATATTGTATTAACAATGATATACAAATATCAACAATAGTATAAAGAAAGTTGTTCCCCTTTTTCCGTAATAAAAAGGGTAAGTTTAGCTAATAAATGTTGAGTACAAAATTGAATGTAATTTAACTACAAAGTTTAATTGAAGTCTTAGCTAAATAAAGAATAGTTCCACAGTGTTTTATCAGTGTAGAAAAATGTAATGTTCATGAGTGATTGACTAAATTTATGCCGAAATAGTGGAGGTACCAAAATTAAAAGATTACCTCGTAAGTAAATATAGTTTTTTTTTTTAAACACTACCTCGTCAATATGAATAACGCTCTTTAATCCTAAGGAATTACACAGTAAAACTGATATTATCTTTAAGAAAATATCTGCTTTAATAAAATAAATCGTTTGTTAAGGAAAGAAAATGATTTATAAAGCCGATAGTTTTAAATTTTGGAAGATTCGGTAATTTTGACAAGGTAGGAAAATTCGGTAACTATGAAATAAAGAGTAAGACGATTGAAAATTGATTTTAGGATCGTTCTGGGGTGGGGATTTGGGGGCTAAAACTTTAAAATCGTAGGATACACAAACCCTATTACAACAATACCCTCCACACAGTCCAATATTTTTCAACATTTTTTTAAAATAAGCTGTTATTTAATTAATTACTATATTGTTTTCATTCAAGCAAATAAAATCGATTTATCTAAGTTAAAGTTAAGTTCTTGTATCTTGTTTTTAAATTATTATTTTAATAAAAAAAGAAGTAAATAAATTAAGTTTTAGATTTGTAATTTTTCTTGAAGAACTGTATTCATTCAAAATTTATAAAAAATAACAATTAACATTAACAACTATATTACATTTTATTTAAAAGAAAAACTAAACGAGAAGTAGTCCCTTTTTACAAAAAGGGATACAAAGATTTGTTAGAAAAAACAAACAAACATGTTTGCTTAGTTTATTCTTTCTTTGATGTTTGTTTTACAGACACTTTTTTGTTGCTTTCTGCACGGTATCAGTCATTGCAAGTGGAACTCCAGCTGATGAAATCAATGCTTGCCTGAAAAATTCTTAGATTTGGAGCTATGTTCAAAGATTCAGCCTGAAAACAAACATGAGAGTTAGAATCACAGGTGACCTTGAAGAAAGAAGATTTGCAGCTTGTCAATAAAACCATCAAAATGAACCAAAATGGAGATATTTCACTCCCACATGACTGTGGAGTTTTAGTTTCAAGTTTCCAAAACTTGATTAACTATGTTTATCCAAATATTAAATACCATTTCATGGATTCAAATTGGCTTTGTGAGAGGTTCATATTAGCTCCCAAGAATCAAACTGTGGATAGCATCAACTAGAAACATGTCCAAGAAATTTCAAAAGAAAGCATGAAGTACTTTTCCATTGACACTATAGCGGAACAAGAGCAGGCAGTGAATTAGCCAATAGAGTTCCTGAACTCATTGAATCATTCTGGAATGCCATTACTCAAGTTGAAACTAAAAGAAAATATTCCAATTATGCTATTGAGAAATCTGGATCCTCCAAAGCTTTGTAATGGAAAAAAGTTAATTGTCAAGATGCTTCCTCATCTCTTGGAAGCAGAGACCCTTACTGGTACAGGAAAGAAGGGAAAAGTTTTAATTTCAAGAATCTCCTTAATTCCTTCAGATCCCCTTTTTGAGTTCAAAAGACTTCAGTTTCCAGTAAGAGTTAGCTATGCAATGTCAATCAATAAGTCTCAAGGACTATCATTGAAAGTAATAACTGGACTTCATCTGATGGAACCCTGCATTTCTCCAGCTGTATGTTGGGAATGGAAACAAGCTATTTGTACTGACCCCAAATGGGAAAACCAAAAATGTTGTTTCTCACGTAGCTTTGCAATAAGTTCCAAATAGACAAATTATATCATTGTTTTGATGAAAACTGTTGTTTGAAAAGTATTGTTCAAGGTTAATAAAATTTAATGTGTACTCAATGGATGAAGTGTCATTGTTGGACCGAAGGTTCATCAATCAAGAGTCCCCTACAGGGGCTGGGTCACCCCATAGGGCGACTTTTAAGCTTGCTAGTTATTAAGTTTGTGATAGTTTTTAAAAAAAGTCAGTGTTGACGTTGTTTCCGCTACGATCACTGATTTATTACGTCAGTTTCGTTTCTTTCTTTTATTTTTAATTTAAAAAATCGAGAATTAAAACTTTTTCACAATAAAATAACTTTTTGAGTGAGAAAAAATAAAAAAACCGCTAATTTAAAGATTTTCTAGCTAAATTAAAAAAATAAAAATAAAAACATTCACTACATTTTTGTTTAAAAATACAATAAAAAAAAAGTAATTATTGGTATGGAAATTTTATTTTTTATTTATGAAAGTTCAAATCAGAGGTGCATTAAATTTTCTAAGGTGCACAATGAAAGATTATTAAAGAAACTTACTTAACAAATCGCAGCTGTTAATAAACTATTATGTCTACTCCTGATTAAATTTAATATATTTGCAAATTTGGTTTAAGTTCGTAAATATAAATTTAATAAAAGAGGTTCATTTGTACTAGACACCGTTGGATTTTAACTCGTCCATTTCGTTTGGTATTCGTCCAAAAGTTGGATAAAATCGATTCTTGGTATGAAATGGTATTTTTGTCCTGACAAAAAATTCTAATTTATTTTTAAGTATATAAAATTGAACTTTTATGCCAAATTTTTGCCTGTCATCGAAAAGAAATTGGCAACATTTTGTTAGTCTTAAATTCTCGACTAGAAAAAGAAAGAAAAATACACTTGCATTTATGTTGATGTCAAATTTCCTTTGGTTTTTCAGGTTTTCGTCTGAAAGTTGACTACGAGAATGAAAATGTATCTCACTGTTTCAATAATAACCAAGATTTTTTTTTAAGTAGTCTTTGATTTTATGGCATTTTATTCCGCACCCACCTATTATATCTTTTGAACTTTCTTTTCACTACCAGTTCACATGAAATATCAAAATAAAAAGAACTGGCGCCAAAGTCTTTGATTTCTCACATAGGTGTGAAAAAACTTTGGATTCAAGAAGGTACCGACAGCCAAATATAGACATTTTAAAACTAAAATTAAAAAGTATTTTATTTATTTTTAATATCTAATTTTAGGTGTATTTGCGAAATAAAAACAAAAAGTTATGTTTCTTCTTCTTCCTTATCGCTGTCTTCGTTGCAACAAAAATAATATACTCCATCGGATGTGCCGTCCGGGTCTACCGCCCCGTTGACTCCCCACTTTGCACGCCACTGCAGTAAGTAAAAAAATTTAATAAGTTATTCAACAAAACTAAAAGCAAAGCGTTAACGGTTAAACTTTTTAGTTCTAAATTTCGAATATTTAATTTTATTTATTTACCCAAAGATTTATACAAAATATAACGGGAATCCATTTTTTTTTTATATTGAGTGCTAATTTAATAAATTGATATCAGTCACTGTTTGTCGTAATATTCAACATTTAATAATCAAAGTAACGTGTTTGTAAAAATCTAAGAAGCATGTCAAAATTATACAATACAAAAAAATGAATAACACACACACACAGACATGAACAGTAGACTCTAGAGAGAAAAAACACAAAAATAAATTCTAGAATATTATTTAAAAATATTGCGGATGTAGCAGAAACATATCGTAAAGGTAAATAGAATTTCTCATGAAAAAAAGATAAATACGAGACTTTGCAACAGGCCATGAATCAGTCAACTCGAAAATACACGCTCGTTAGCACAAAAAAATCTACTCTAAGTAACTCCCTAACGACCCCATATATAATCGAAGCGAAGTGATCACAGAAAAGACTCATTGACACCTGAGTGAAATTATTAGGTTTTCTAAGTCAATGCGCTTGTACTTCCTTTTAAAGTTTTAAAACTGTGAGTAATTGAAAATCCTCCTTCAACACTGTTGAATCAAAACAGATACATTTCTAAACATTTCAAATAAGACTGCTGCTACTATGAAAACTGAAAAGTTACATCCACAGAAAATCAACTTGCACACGACACAATTTTACATACAAAAAAACTTTGTTATAAAAATATAAAAAATTGTCATTTTTAATTTTATAACAATTATTGGAAACTTAATAATTGTGAATATGACTATTTCTAAATGCCACTTTAATAAAAGAATAAAGATTAAAAATTCTAGAGATAAACTAACAAAAGAAATGTGAACGTTAGGGACCAATTATTAAAGATTTAAATTTAATTTTTAAGTAATGAAATAAATAAATTATGAAAAGTTTTATTGAGAAAAGTTAAACGATTCTGAATGTGAAACTGTTCAAGTTTTCTAAAAAAAATTTATATCCTCTTAGTCTTGTTGAGTAAAGTTTATCGCGATAAAAAAGGAACTGAAACACTAGGTTTTCCAAAGATATATAATTTCTTTTTTTATTTCTCCATTTTTCTTTTGCCGATTGAAGTTTATTGAAAATTAAGCCTAGTTCTCCTATTTTCTCTATAGGTTTTAAGGTTTGTTGTTAAAATTTGAAGAGTGAACTTCAATAGATTTTCCTCCAACATATCTTTTTGCCTTATTTTTTTTTCATTTTCTAAAGTTCTTCAGACTGTCCATTCTCCGGTTTTCTTCTATTATCCTAGGGCCTATTATTATTAATTATTCTATACTGGATCAGAGAACAAAAGTATTCTCCTCTTTAGACTTTTTAAAAAATTTCAAACATTTTTTTGCACATTGTTTCAGTTAGTGCGTTCTTCGTCCTCGTCTTCTTAAGGCTTATTGTTTTCTACTCAAGGACAAAAATTCACCCGACGTTCGGAGAATGGATCAAACAAAAAACAAAACAGAATGATACGAAATTGTTGTCAGAATAAATAAATTAAGTGAAGATAATTCCAAAAGAAATATTAATAGAAAATCTGATATGAAAAGTGGCAAAATCGTGCGAAATTGCTTCTTTTTTTTTTCTCTCAATAAAGCGACTAATCAGTAATAACATCTGGTATATCATTTTACACGGTTATGTTTTCCCTTAGCACCGGTTTGAGGGAGAAATTCTTGAGTAAGGTCGTTGCACGGACGTAAATACTGTTGATATAAAACTACAAAAGGTATTCAATTTATTTCATTTTTTTAATGTTTTCGCTATTTTTTATGTACTCTGTAACAATCTAGTAGCGTTAATTAATTATCGCTGTTATGATGTGCTACACTACAGTGTAATGTTCATATTTCTCTAATCTATTTCTTACTCTATTTGCCTTTCTTTCGCAAAATATTCTCAAACTCTCATTTAATTTAACAAATTAAAGAAAACGTGTTTATTCAAGAAAATAATTGTTAAAACAAAAGAATTTTTTTTTGTTTTATGCAAGTTTACAGATTTTTTTCCCCCTAAAAGTCGAAACATTTAGGTTGTGTACAATTACTTTACTACTCAATCCGTTTTCAGGTTTTTATTTTTATTTTTTTTGGTATTGTAAAAATTGGAATTAAAGGTAACTGTCATCAACGAAAATTTGTTTAAGGCATCTATAAATATTTTTTTAAAAATTCATAAATGCTGAAAATAAATCTTGAAGTACTTTCACTCAATGAAAAACTCGAGATTCAATAATTAAATTTTTAAAAGTTTTGTTATGTTTGTTTAAACAAACATAACAAAATTAAAAATTATCTATGTTTTGAAAAAACGTTTTTTCAAAACAGATAATTTTTAATTTTATTGAACATTTTTTAACCCAAAAGTAAGCAAATTTCATTTTCCTTATCAAAAATAATATATTTTCTTATTCTTTCTAACTAAAGCATTTTTCAAGATAGTAAATTTCATATTTGAAACACTTTTCTCAATTTCATCAATTTATAATTTGTCAGTTTTTACGGGGACGTAACAATAGCAATGAAAATCAAAATTAAACTTGGTTGAATTATTAAGGCAAATGAAGATTCATTTTCAAAGGGAAAATAAAAAAAAATATATCATTCGAAAAAAATGTCGGTGGTCTTTTTTTTCACTAAGTGATAAAATAAGAAAAGTTTTCAACATATTTTTAGACATAACAATAACATCTTATTTCTAGGAAATGAGGAAAAGGGCTTGGGGAATTTGACACTCACAAGACATTGAAAATAAGAGGAGCAGACGGAAATAACGAGTAATATACCTAACGAGCTTGTAATGGATAGCACAGCGATTGGGAGGGATAGTGTAGGAACAAAGATTGCTTAGAGCTACGAATGTTAGAAAGTCGTGGAGAGACATGATTTCCTGAAGGGTTTATGACACATAGGAGGAGGAGAAGATATTCTGCTGTATTTGTCAAAATTTTAACTTCTGGTTTTGAAATTTAAATGAAGAAAAACGCGAGTAATCACTTAGAATGAGAATTAATGTGTACTTTTTTATTTTAATTTATTGGATAAAAAATATTTGAAAACTTAAAGAATTTTAATTTAAAATTCTTTAAGTTTTCAAATAATTTTTATATGCAAAATTTTTTTAACTCTTACATTTTTACTTTTCATTTAAACAAGGTCACAATAAAAGAGAAACTGTGCTAAATCAAATGTTTATTGCTGACTTCTGGGTTGTATAGCATAAAAATAAAATTCGATAAATTTTTTGTTTGTGTGCAAATGTAAGCTAAATCAACTATACACATGAATACATTCATACTGCTCTTTAAGTGCTTTGTCTGCTATGTGTTTGTACTTCTGTTTGTTTTTTTTATTATTAGCAGTATTATTGAAAAAAAGAGTTAATATTGTCAGGCTGTTTTTTTTTTTATTGAATGGTAATAAACTAAGTGGTTTAATGGATATTGACTTGCAATGAGAAATCAGAGCTGAGTTCAAATTCCAGTTGTGTTAGTTACACACAAATGCTCTTGAGAAAAGTATGAATCCGTTTCTTCTTTTCCCTCCAGCTATGGGTTGAATAACAAGACAGATTGGGATCTACAGCCTTGGTTGGCAACCAGTCTACCACAGAAAGAAACAGCAACCTATTGTGGGAAAATCTTCTGCCTAATCAATCATGAATCAAAAGTCATGATCACCCAAGCATGTATTGTGCATAGCACTTAACTGACTGAATAAGATAAGTAATAAAACCTGAATCCAACCAATGACAAAAAACAAAAAAAAGTTAATACAACAAATGGAATAAGCTCAGATAATTTTTCGCAGGACCCACAGAAATTTAACTGGATCGTTCTCATTTAGAAATTGAATATAAATTCATATGCTTAATAATGCAGGAAAAAACAAGTAATATTTAGTTTTCTTTATTAACTGATCTGTTATACAGAATTATATAGAAATATTTATATATAAATTTTATGAAAAAGTATCTTAAAATTTTTGATAACTTCATAAAAGTCAATATTATTATGGTATTATTCCTCTTTAGTATTCTTCTGTTTGACTGCTATTTTAACTTTTGTGATACACTAGCCCTGGGAATGTAACACAAAATTATTGGTGATTAAATATGGCAGGTATATTCCAACACTAGTTTAATCTTTGGCATAGGTTGTTATTGCCCATAAATAGCTTCAATTTTTTTCCCATCCTAACAGATTAAATAAATCATAAGTTAAGATGTTTTGAGAGAATTTAGGAATAATGAATATATAAACATACACATTAATATACAGATAATATTTGCCATTTCTGATGTTGAAAAACAGCAGATGATGAATTATAATGGAAAATAATTCAACCAATAGCCACAATATGATTTGAGTATGTATCAACAGTTGCAATAAACAATGAAAATTTTCTCATACCATTTAAAACAATGGTTTTTAGAATCTGATTTGCGTTTTTCATCCTATTCTGGTTGTTAGTGATTGGATTTGTTTAAAATCCTCCAAATTTGAGTTCAGAAAATTATTTTAATAGATAACTGGAGAAAATTGATGTTTGATTGATGATAATATAAATACATATTTAGGAGGTACTGTACATTTTTCTTATTCTTTGTTTAAATATAGTAAATAATGATTAATTAGCTTTGATGTAATAATATCACTATTAAAAAGATTGAATAAAAAGAAATACTTCTTTCTAATCTAGTTTTTCCAATGGAAACAAAAGGACAAGCTTGTTTCTGTAATCTTACTATTTTCAGCACAAAATTATTCTTCATGCTGATTGACCCCCCTGAAAAATGTTTGTATATGCCAGTTATTTTTTTTTTACTCATGTAACTTCATTTTTTTACTCAATTTCTTTCATCTTAATTTATCAATTAAGAATAACATTATGCAACACAATAATATAATCAGCTGAAATATTTTTTTTTAATAAATACACATCATTTATATCTTTGTATGACTAAATTCCAAATTAAAAAAAAAAAAAAAAAAAAAAGGTATCATACAAATATAATGAAAAAAAAGTGTGTGTCCCAATGTGAAGCCTTGATAAGATTGTTTGGGTTTTTGACCTGCCGAGACAAGCAACCTTTCTTTTCTATTATCCAGAAAATAAATAATAAATCCTTTTGTTTTGGCATACTGCATTGTTAAAATGACTGATTTTTCTCTATAGGTTGGGGAAGCAAGGAAGACCTGGATTAGTTGGTTTTCTTTTTTTTATAATGCTAAGCTCCGCAGGAATATCGGAGCAAATATTTTCTGGATGGAGACATGGTTGCTAAATCCAACATTTTCTTTGTATCATAGACAAATCCTTTTTAATCAATTCTTTCTATTGTTTCTATCTTGAATTTTTTTTCACCCCTATTTAAAATGTAAAGTAAACAACAAAATGATTAAGTATATATTTTCTTTAAAAAAAAAGTTATCTCATGTGATTGTCACTGGCATTTATTTCTTTAAAATCTTTAAAAAAGAAATAAAAACCAAAGAGTTATAATTTCAACACCTTTAATTAGATATTTTCAAGTATATATGAAGTGAAAACAATTTTGTTTAATAAAATTTAACTTTTGTAATATTGAATATTAGTATATGCAAAAATGCTCCTTCCAAGATAAACAGTAACCTATTTGAAACAATTAAACCTTTCTAATAAAAAGTTTTACATGTTTAAAATAAATTTCTTTTGCCAAAAGTCCAGTTATCACAATATTGTGGGAAGATATTAAGAAACCAAATAATGAAAAAAGAAAAAAAAAAACATACAGAGGATGGGAAATCTAGAAGAATATCTGTTGACTTAAAAAAACTGTCATATGTGTTGGTTCTATTAAAAAGGTAGAATCTTTACAGCAATGAAACAAGTTTCAAAATTTTTACTTTAAAAATTTGATATTTTGCAACTATGATGTCTGATAAAGTATATTAAAAAGTTATTTTCAAATGACACTTGAACATAAGCTTTAAAATTAGTATCTTTTGGTTTTTATATTGGGATTTAAATTTTTATTGTATGAGTCATTGACCCTATCACAGTAAATATTTCCCTTTTTATTTTTGTGCAGCTAATTAACACTAGTCTTTTAAGAAAATGCTGATTTAATAGTTCAAATTTCAGTTGTAGCACATGACGCCTCTTGATTGATTGCTTCAGAAAAAGTGAAAGCTCAATTTAATATTGCCAGTAATTAAAATTATCTTTGTCAATATTTTTCATTGTAGATCATGAAAAGACAATAGATAACAAACTGTTAAAATTAACAAATATAATTAATGACTAGAAGCTATTTTATTTATTTAAATATATTAATATTTCTTTAAATTTAAGAGGCCTGAAAGAAGTATTTACTTTAGTTATCCTAAAGACTAACTAAATACTAATATTTTTTTTTAAAAAGGAAAGAATTCTGATCTGCAACCTGCTTTTGTCATAAGTTTTACATTTTTATTTTTTTTTTTCCTTTAGGCAAGAAAATGTTCAGCACTCTGCTTCAAATTGCCCGAAGACAACCATGTTCCTATTCAGTTTTAAAAAATCTTGCCTTACCTAGAGGTAAGTATAATGTGATAATAATCTTGAAAAAAGAAATTTACAATAACACATGTAATAATGTTATTATATAATATACATATTCCAAAATGGAATAAGATGATATATATATTCTTAACTTTGTATAAAACTGAAAGACTCCTTTTCCTGCCTCCCATCAATATGGCTGACACTAACCTCCATGAGAGTGATTAATTGCACCATCTTGGGTTTTACATTCTTGGCTGACATGAAGTGGATAGATTGAATTCATTGCTATGTCTGCTGTAACAAAGTTGGTTCACTGTCGTCCTTGACAATTTTTCTCTCCTGAATCTATCTTACATATTTATAAGTCTACCATTTGTCCATGTCTTGAATATTGCTGCCAGATATTGTCCAGTGCACTTTCTCACTACCATAATGTAACTTCCCTGTATATTTTCTATAAATACTTTTGTGGCAATTGTTAGGATGAACTCTTTGCTATGGTACTTAGACTTTATGAATTTAAGCATAGTACTAGATTGGCAGCAAGGTCTTGTCAGTTCACTGTTGAATTGGCTAGATGTAACTGTAAGTTTCTTTTCTTGCACTTCTGTCTTGTGGAACCCTCTTTCGGCTCCATGTTTTCCAACCAACTTTGATCTTCGAAAATTCAAATGCAATGTCAATTGTTATCTACTGTCCTCTTGATTACTCATCTATTGTTCTCGCTCATTAATAATGTTTCTCTTTTTTCTTATACTTTCACACTTTTAGTGGCTTTATTAGCTTGCATGGGGTGATATGATTAAAAAGAAAATATAGTTGTTTCACTTTCTGCACAAAATATTGACTGTTATATAAAAAGTGGGTACTGAAAAGATTTGAGCCTTACCAGATTTGGGGAAATGGGTAGGACCAAGAATTTTTCAGCATCCCCTTGTATATACATTATGCAGTTTTTTTTTTTTTTTGTTTTAAATGCTGTATCCTTTCAGGATGTATATGATTATGGCTCTTCACAGATTCCCTTTCTTTTTCTGTGAATTGTCATGCCCACTTTGGAAAGATAGTGGAGTGGTTTCATGTTGTTTTCTAGACAGTTTGGAATTCAGAGTTTTCCTTCTTTTGGTCTGGTTACCATCCAAGGCTAGAGAGTCCAACCTACAGGTTATTTAACCTATAGTTGGGGGAATGAGAGATGGATTTGTTTTCCCTAGAGCATTAATGTGAAAGTGAATGTAACAGACTAGGCCAGGACTTGAACTTGGATTGCTGATTCTACTTTCTGTGCCAATAACCATTACATTCACATTCATATACATGTATACTACAGAGACAGTATAGAATGAATAGTTTGTATTTCACACTACCTTTCAGTATATCAAATAAGTACTTTCAGGTATTTTTGATGAAAAATCACTTTTTTTGTCTCTCTTCTTTTTAAATTCTATGTCCTTTCAGGATGTAGACAATCATGGCTCTCCACACTTTTTTTTTTTTTTTTTTTTTATCTATAAATTTTCATTGACTTCTTGGGAGAGTGTGGTAATGTTGCTTTCTGCATGGTTTTGAATTCATAATAGTTCTTTTCCTAGATGGCTGCCATCCAAGACTAGGGAGCCCAGTTGAAAAAGCATGTGACAAAAATTTTATGCAAGTTGATATTATTCTTATAATTTTTGTGTTATATGTGAGAAGAATGACAGGAGAAAATTCTGATTATTTACATTATTTGCATATGGACTCTTGTGCTCATCTTTGTTGATGTTATCACAATATTTTGTCTGTTGTGCCCTCTGGTCTTGTTGATCTGAGTAACTTTCAGAGAATTTTAAACTGAACTCTTTATTCAATCTATGGAAGTAAACTATTCTTGTTCTACTGACTGCATCTAAACATATCTAGTTCTTATTTAGCACTGCTCAGTTATTGCTTACCCTTTTTCAACCGACTCCAAGTATACACTGCATGACCTAGGGATTGAACTCACAATTACTATATCACCAAATTCACGAACCAACACTTTAATCCATTTGGCTATTGTCTGTTAAGATTAACTGGATTGATAAGCATTTGATGAAGGCCAGACTGAAATGCTATGACAACAAAAATGAAGACAATAGTAAGTAATGATAACTCCTAGTCTCAGAAAATCAAACAGAAAATTATCATATTACAATTCTATAAAATGTATCCATTAGATTAAACTGGCAATATTTGTGCTTGAAAAATTACTTAAACTGTACAAAACTGTGTTAATAATTTCAATGAGAAAGTTTTTAAATGAAAAACTGTCAAATTTTTTAAATATTTTAAAAATCTTGGATGTCTTTAAAATGTTTAGTACATATTAATTTATGAATAAATTTAATTTATGCAATGACATTTTTTCTCATTTTTAAGTCAAATAAACTCACTTTATTTAATTTTATGGAATCTCTATAAAATATTTTTTGGGAAAATAAAAAATATTTACATTTCTAGAAAATTAAATTTGAAATTTCAACTGGAGATTTAGAAAATACAGTCTGGATTTGAAGATGAAATAAAAAATATCAGAAAAGAACATTTTGGGGGAGATATTTTAAAATTTCTTATTTTCCTTGGACACTACTGAAATAGTAAAATACTATTTAAATAATAAATATGTTTTAATAATTGAGAAATGTAAAAGTTAAACTGGAGATATTTTTTCAGTAGAAAATGATAATTTTATATTATTAATGTACAAAAATTATATAATTAGCCTTTATGGAAAACTAAGAAATTTCTTTTGGCTTATTCTGGACACTTGGTATGCAAAAAATGTTTTATTTTTCATTGCCCATTCTTCAACTATTTCATGTGGATCTCTTAAGTAATTTGGGATGGTAAAAAAATACTATGAATCTTTCTTTAAGCAAGCAAAAATATTTTATTTTCTTTCCAGCTTTGTGCTATTTTTTTGCAATTCAAATAAAAATTTAAACCTCAAAGAAGATATAAAACCTGTATAAAGCATTAAAATATTTGCAAAGTTATCTATACAAAAGTTACAAGTAAGTATATGACAAAACAAACAGTGGTTTTAAATTTTCTACAACCTATCTTTTATTCTTCCTAGTGGAATTGAAAGTAAATTCCCACTGATACATGTAATTAACCAATATTTGATTAAAAAAAGTGTCAATAACTGGGTAAAATGTTTAATTATGTACAGCCTAAAAATTCTTGTTTACTCAGAAGTATGTTTTTGTTAATACATTCCTTCTGATTCATTCTTCATAGAAGAGATTTAATATATTCTACCAAACCATAAGCTTTTTAAAAAATCTTATGGTTTGTAGAATATATTAAATCTCTTCCTATTTTGAACAGAATTCTTTAAGATGAAAGCAAGAACCAAGATATGTAAAAGCATTAAAAGTACATGGCATTATCAGCATTTAAACAAAAAACATTTTTCTTTGGTGAACAACTTGCAAGACATTGCTAATGTGTTCAGGCCTCACATGGGTACCACAATTGTAACCTTGTGTTAGATTAAGCTTTATTTTAAACTACATGAGTAACACTAAAACTTGGAATCATGTTATAATTCTGTATGCCCTATGTTAGTTAGCACTTGTGTTATCTACCTTGTTATTACTTCAAATAAATAATGGACCATTCTATTTTATGATTACAAGGAAAGATGGAAGAGAAAAGTGATGCTGTTTGGTTTTAGCAAGAAAAAGAAAGCATACATAAGAAGAAAGAGACAAGATAGATGTGGTGACAACACTTAAGTGTTTAATGTCTAATCAGTGGAATGGAAAATCTGGTTAATTTTGAATTTTTTCAGTTGTACCCTCTTACTTTAAATAATAATCTGCATTCATACTTATGATTACTATTGCAATATTTTGTTAAAGTTAAGCTCAAATAATTTAACATAGCAATAGTGGGATTTCCACAGCTATTTTATAATTGTAGAACATGCAATGGGTTTATTCAGTCATTAAGTTAAGAATTATGATTGATCAAAAAATAGGGAAACCATGAAATGTTCACATGTACTGCTAGTTAAATTCATTACTTTACACTTAGCTTCAAATTGAATAACTAGTACTTAATGCATTACATCAGTTCTTTTTAACTACTTCGTTTTTTTTCTCTCAAAAGTTATTAATTATGCTTGTGTATATTGTTTGTCAAAGAAGAAAACCTATCAAAACCAAAACCCTTATAAGACCATTTGGTAAACAACATAATGATAATAACAGTTTTTATTTTGTGGTATAGTTGAACTTGTTTATATTTTTGGTACATTTTTAATATTTTTAAATTTCATGACATATTGACTCTACTAATAAATCATAGATAACTACTAAAAGATTTATTAATAGACCATCATCTTCTATGTGCTTTGTCCCTTTAAGATATTGACGATCATGGTTTTCCACAATTTCCTCTCCTCACTAGGTAGATTATGCATTGTTTTCTTTTGTCTCTCTTGCCTTGAATATGTCCTATGAGTTTGAAATTTTCCAAATCCTCTTTCCTCATTATGTGCCCTAGAAATTTCAACTGTCTCTTCTTGATGTTAAGTTTCCATTTTAACTAAAATTTCCTCATTGCACACATGTTTGGTTCATGGTATTCTCAGCATCATTCTGTAGAACCACGTTTCTGTTGCTTCAAATTCTTCTTCATCTGTGAGGAGATTGTCTAGAATCCACTGCCATGTAGGAGGACTGATATCACATAACAGTTCAGTACTCTTTTCTTTGTTTCTAACAAAAATTTATCTGTTTCTTTGTTTAGCTTTGGAAGGCCACTTTTGCTATCCCAGAGCTTTTTAATCTCATTGTCATACTTTTCATCGTCATACTTTTCATCTTATGTTAAAACACTTCCCAGATATATAAATTGTTATACTTGTTTGATTTTGGCATTTCCATTTTGTAATTTGCATGCTGGATGGTTTCTTTTGGTAACAACCATGCAGTCTATCTTCTTACAATCAATGTTTAGTTCTTTCTCCTCACTTTCTTTCATTACCTTTTATAGGAGTTTTTGTTTCCTTTCTCTGTCTGTTATCAACACTGTGTTATCTGCATATCTTATGTTAAGATTGTGGCTACCAATAATGAATCCTAGTAGGACTTCTAATTCCCTCAGTGTATGGGTTAAATAAATCTGGTGAGAAGACATCTATGTTTTACACCCCTTTATATTTTTGTATATTTACTGAATTCTTTTTCTATCCATATGCAGACAGTTTGCTGCCAGAATAGGTTCTGGATTATTCTTAATATCTTTCCCAAATATGTCAAGGTTACCTAGCAGTTCCAACAGTTCTTTGTGATGTACTAATTAGGGTAGAAAATTTATTTGCCAGTTAAGGACAATAAGAACTAAACACAAATTTTCAATAAGTGTCTGTACTTGTAACAACTAATTTTTAGTCATAGACATGCTGCATTTCTACAGCCATATTGTAAAATATAAGTTAAAGTAATAACTAATCAGAGATGAACAGAAGAGGAAGAAAAATATTTTTGCATTAAAAACATAGAACTTCCCAAATTATAAAAATACACTAATGAATTTTCATGTCCTGTGTTTAGTATAGAGTAAAATTTTGTTTAATGTGACATCATTTCTCTGTTAATATACAGAACTCTTTTAAAAAATAAGATGCACTTGAAAAAGTGTTTCATTTATATTTTTATTATGACTTGTCAAGCACAAATAAGTCTTTCTATATGTAGACTTTGTTCACATAGGAAAGAATAAAAGTAAAGATAGTTTGTAAAAAATTTAAGACCACATCTGTTTGTTTTGTAATATGCTTACTTGTAACTTTTGTATAGGTAACTTTGCAAATATTTTAGAGCTTTGTACAGGTTTTGTTTTTTTTTTTTTTTTTCTTTTTTTTTTTTTTTTTTTTGTGGAAAGAAGTGTTGCAGGTTTCTTGCAGGTTGTCTGTCTCTTTCATAGGTACCTCCATGGCTTAAAAAATAATTAAATTTTATTGTAATAATTTAAATATCTTTGAAGTTTAAATTTTGATTTGAATTACAATATCTTATAGGAGAAAAATCTTAACCAGTTATTGTTAGACAATTCAAGAAGGAAAATGTTTCTAGTATTCCTAGTTTTGCTTGGACACTTGAATCCCATCATATTTGTCACTTGTTAATACATTGTTTCTGATCCATTCTTCAACCTTCACTGGATGTATAACCTACAAGAAAATAGAAAATCTCATTTCTCTAGAAAGATGCTAACAGGAAAAAAGTGGCTATTAGTATGCCTACTAAATCAGTTCATTTCACTGGCGATTGGTACAAAGATGTAACTATACTGTCACTGAGCAAAATTTGAAATGTTAGTAAATCTTCTCAAAGTTGTATACTTTCTGATATTATTGAATGGATTGACATTATAACTGACTTTTGAATATCTCATATTGTATATACTGCTTTTGAATATCTCATATTGTATATACTGCTTTTGAATATCTCATATTGTATATACTGCTTGAATATTTCATATTGTATATACTGCTTTTGAATATCTCATATTGTATATACTGCTTTTGAATATCTCATATTGTATATACTGCTTTTGAATATCTCATATTGTATATACTGCTTTTGAATATCTCATATTGTATATACTGCTTTTGAATATCTCATATTGTATATACTGCTTTCATACTTTGTGTAGTTGTAATATATACTCTCTCTCTCTCTTTGGTCTATTTCAGTTCTGAAATCTCACTATGTTTTTAATATAATTTGAATTATGTCAGTAATGTTTTTTTCCTTCTTCTTTTTACAGTATTATCTCCTTGTTTTGTAAGTAAGGCATTTCATCTAAGCACTCCAATTAAAATTCTGGACAAAGACCATCCATTAAAGAAATTTACAACAATAGACAAAAAAGAAGAAACCTTTCAGCAAGACATTGATGAACCAGTAGATGTAAAGTAAGTCCACTTTTCAGTTATCGTAGAAAATATGTCATGAATCCAATTAGGATGTTTAGAAAATAATCATTAATTACCTTTGGTTAACAATTTTTTAATATCATATAAGCAGGCATTGAGTAAACTTGCACAATTTTTGTTTATTATATCTGATGACATTACAGAAGATTTTTGAATTTAAGAAATGTAATAATTTTTATATTCAAATTTCTGTGTTGTAAATCTTTTGTGATGTTGAACAGTTTCACTTGTCACTTTTGTATGTCAAGCAAAAGCTTGTTATCACTTCCATAAATGCTTGTTATATTCAAGGCTTTATAGACGCCATTACTAGTAGTAACACCTTCCAATAATATCCGCACTAGTAATACTTGTTCAAGTAGTAATCACCAAATAATATAATGATCAGAAGAGAATCGTAATCCGTGTAGTAGTAGAGAGAGTGAACGTATAGCAATAGTAGATAAAGAAGAGTGAACAGTGAGCCATACAGTGATACAGGAGAAATAGTGATGAGCTAGTCATCATGCTACTTCATATTTATTCACTTCCTTTATGATCTACTTAATAATGGAATCGCTCGTGTTACTCACTGGCGATCTAGTTTCAAACCACAGTGTCGGCAACGACACTTGCTCTTATAAAACACTTCCCCTTTGAAATGACCTCCCCTGGCATCTATATATTTTTAGCTTTAGTTAGAAACTCTGTTGGCCTTTTCCTTTTGCCATAAACCCTTAGTTGCACTATTTCTGCTGGCATAGGAATGTTGAATGTGTCATACAGGACTTCTACTGGTACTTTTGTTCGGGGATTTTTTAATTCAGTGAAGCAACATTTTAGTTGGTTAATGTGCCGCTTGTGCTCTTACCTTTATTCTTGTATTATGTATGTCATTCTGCCAATACGTTTCTTAACGACACCATTTTGCCAAAATTCCTTCCCGTGCTGATAATTCCTGAAAAATATTTTTTCTCCAGGTTTGAAATAGGTATCTGTATATTCATTCTTTTATGTCCTCACCTTGTTCTCAGGTCGTAACTTATTGAAGATGGACTTGATTTTTCTGGTGAACATCAATTCTGCCAGTGACATTCCCGACACTGTGTTTGGATTTGGCATAATACAGTAAACACTTAAAAACTGTTGAATCATAATCTCATCCAAGTCCTCTCTCTCCGATTTCCTTAAAGCCCTCTTAAACGTGTCAACAAAACATTCTGCTAGTCCGTTCAATCTAGGGTGATATGAGGGAGTAGTAATGTGTTCAATTGCTAGTGACTTGCAAAAGAACTTGAATTCACTGGACATGAATGTGTACCATTGTTAGACATGGTTGAGTCAGGAACACCAAATCTTGCAAAAATTTCATGCAAGAAATTAAGTTATTGTGGTAGTCAGTCTCCTGCATTTTAGTACTTCTGACTATTTCATAAAGTTGTCTACTGCTACCAGATAGTACGATCCACTTATTGGCCCAGCAAAGTCAACATGAATTCTAGTCCATGGTCTATCAGTTGTTGGCCAAGGTTGAACTTTTATAGGTGGTGACTTTGCTGCCAGAGCATAACCTCTGCATAATTTTACCACATTTTCTATATCCTTATCCATATTCAGCCAGTAGGTGTAGCATGTCATTACAGATTTCATCTTAGAAATCCCTGGATGTCCTCTATGAAACTCTTTCAACATTCGTCTTTGTAACAACCTTGGTATAACTGCTCTCAGCTTGCATTAGTACACCATTGCACAATGAAAATGCATTAGTATGTCCAGTAGTATTTTTCCTGTAGATTTTAGTTTATCCTTCATTTTCATTATGAAGTAGTCATTCTCTGCCTTAATTTTTATTTCTTCCAATGTTATTGGCAACTCTCTCATGGTATTATATAGTGCATTACTTATTTCGCTTTCGGCCCTAATCGCAGCAATTACTGTGTCTTTCAGTGGTTCACAACATCTTGGTACTAATTGAGACAACCTGTCTGCATGACTTAGTTTCTTAGCCAGTAAAAATTCCATCTTGTAATTATAATTTAATAAGATCATTCCCCAGCGCTGCAGTTTATTCATCGTATGTGTAGGAACACCTGTTTCAGATCCATATATTGATAACAACGGTCGATGGTCTGTTTAAAGAATAAATTCCTGTCCATGTAAGAACTCTTCATTGCAAATAGCCAATGCTTCCTTCTCTATTTGACTGTAGCTTCTTTCAGCCGTAATTAACAACCTTGAAGCATGCACTATTGGCTTCATAATTCCATTATCATACTTGTGTAAAATCACTGCTCCAATCCCTGAGTCACTTGCATCAGATGCAGTGACAATTTTCAGGTTATGGTCGAAATTAGTCAGTGATAGCTCTGATGTTAATACTTTCTTAATCTGCTCAAACGCACTTTCACATTTTTCTGTCCAGTTCCACTTGACATCCTTCAGTAGATTATTTAATGGTGCTCTCAACCTGTGCATATTAGGTATGTATGTATGCATGAAAATAGTTTGCAAAACCTAAGAATTCTTCTACTTTTATAATATTAGTTGCCACTGGCATATCCTTTATCACACTTGCTCTTGCAGGATCCGCTCGTCTCATCAATAATCTGCTCTAGATATTTGAGTCTGGACACTTTTCTTTAAATCTTCAGTACGTTCTTTTGGGGCTTTGCTTTTTACCAATATGTTGTCCAAATATGCATGGGCACAATCTAACCCAGCCAGCATGCTATCCATTATTTGCTGAATTATAGCTGGTGCATCCTTTACACCAAAAGGAAGACGATTGAATTTATATAACCTTCTATGGGTGTTAGCTATTTTGAACAGACTTTATCCACAAGTATTTGTAAATATGCGTCTGAGAGTTCCAACTTTGAGAAAAATTTATCTCCATTTAGTTTTGCAAAAATTTCTTCTGGACTAGGTAACGGGTAATTTTGATGTTTCAAACTTTTGTTTAGTCCCGTTGAAAAGTCAGCTCAAACTTGTATTCTGCTATTCCACTTCTTAACATAGACTGTTAGTGCTGCCCATCTGGAATAGTCTATTCTTGATATTACTCCCAATTTCTCCAGCCTGTCCAATTCATTGTTGATTAGATCTACAGCCACAAAGGGTATACTTCTTTTTTATTTAAACGTAGGCATTACACTGTCTTTCAACTGAAACTTGGCTTTTGTGCATGTACCAAGACCTTCAGAAAAACTTCTGAAAAAGTTTTTTTTAGTTTGCTTTTTAATTTTTCATTTGCTGTATTAGAACTGGTAACACTATTTATGTTATTACAAAACGAGTTAATAGGTACATCCCACAGATCAAACAATGCCATCCAATCTGTACCAAATAGATTAGGTGTGTTTTTCAATACAAATACTACCATTTTTCTGGTTTTCCTGACAAACAAAACGTTACAGCTGAATTTTCTTAAGTTTAATCTCTTCCCTGAGATTCCATAAGCAATTTTCCCAGAAGTTAATAACCTGGGTTTATGCGTTTTCTTCCAAGTCTGTTAATAATAGTAATATGTCTAATTGCAACTTAATTTTTACACCATTTATTTGCACAAAAACATATTTCCTCTTTTGTGAAGTGTAATTAATTTGCCTTTTGGGTTTCTTATTATTACTGCATGTATTCTATTTACATGCGTTTTATTTCTTCTCCATTTTTCGATCTGCAACACTCACTCTTGTGTTCTAATTTCCCACACTCAAAGCATTTCTTGTTTCGGAAACAATCCTTTTTAAAATGCTTACCAGCACAGCTGTGGCAAATATTAGGTATTGAGTGAGTTTTTATAGTCTTCCTTTATAGTTTTATCAGGAGTTGAAAAACATTTGTAATTTTTCCTCTTAGTTGGTTGGACACTGTGAACCTGTGAATTTTCTTTTTCTTCAATCCTTATGGTATCAAGCTTTAAATTCACAATACATTGGCACTCTTCAACTATTCTCTGGAGAGTTAATTTTGGTTCCATTTCCAGTTTAGTCAGTATCCTAGATCTAATCTCTGCATCCTTATTATATGTTAAACCCTGAATGAATATCAAGCATTTAAAAAGATCATGAGTTAGTTCATTCAGTTTAAGATTTTTACATTCCTGATTTACGAGTCCTGCGTACAGGACAAAACTTCTTTGTCGGATTTCACTAAATTGAGACATTGCCAATGTATATTTAATGGTGAACTCCTGTCTTCAAATATTTTCGATAGTGTTAGGGCAGTATCATCAAAAGCTATTTCTCCCAGCTTCTTCGGCAAAATATAGTTTACATATTTTTCATGTTCAGCAGGGGATAATTTCCTCAACAATAATTGAACTTTTTTTTTCTCATCACTCCAATGCACACAATCCCTTTTAGAGATTCCTTCATATCTTCTATAGTATGATGGAAAAGTTATTCCTTCACCTGGATTGTACACAAACTCGGTGATTGAATTATTTTCAGCATCAAGAGTAAACAAATCTAAAGTTTTTGTTTTCATCATTTTAGTGAACAACTCGAAAAACTTTTGTTGCTGTAATTGTAATTGCAACTACTGTTCATAGTTCTGTTGCTGTAGTTGTAGTTCCTGTTGTAATTTCTATTGTTGAAGGATTTGAAACATCAGGGCATTTAATTCTTCCATTTTTCTGCTGAACTTTTTGCAGATTAATTTTTCCATCCATGTGAGTTCAAGGAATCCTCACAAATCCTAGTCGCCACTTTTGTGATGCTGGATAGCTTGTCAATTTTTCTATATCAAGCGAAAGCTTGTTATCACTTTCATAAACGCTTATTATATTCAAGACTCTGCAGATGCCGGTACTAGTAATAATGCCTTCTAATATTATCCTCACTAGTAATACTTGTTCAAGTAGTAATTGCCAAATAGTATAATAATCAGAAGAGAATCATAATCGGTAGAGTAAAGAGAGGGAATGTATAGCAATAGTGTATAAACAAGAAGAGTGAACAGTGATCCATAAAGTGATAGAGGAGAAATAGTTATGAGCTAGTCATCAAGCTACTTCATATTTATTCACTTCCTTTATGATCATGTGATCTACTTAATAATGGAATCACTTATGTTACTCACTGGCGATCTAGTTTCAAACCACAGTGTCAGTAATGACACTTATTCTTATGCAACAAAATCATTATTTTTTAACATAATATTCCATTTTTGTTAATATTTTGCTGACAAGAAAATTTCATAACTTTACCATTTTCACTAAGTTATACATTTAATCACATAAAATTTCTTTCTTGTATAACCTAATAAAATATTTCTTTGTGCATGTTTAGTTGAAATTTTTCCATCTCTCTTTTAAATTATCACTCTTACCCACCCATCTTTACTAAAAAGAAAATATATTATTTTAGATCTTTGGTCTTTCCTACTTTGGAGACATACAAAACATTGTATGAAGGAGTGCCTTATACTGATTTGCACATTGCTTGTATAAAAGCCACAAGGAACAACACTTTGGTCACAGTCACTGACCACAAAGGTAAATATTTCTTTTCTTTGATATAAACTATATTTGAAATAGGAAACAACATGATTTCATTTGTAGGTTGTAATCTTATTTTAGTTTCATTTGGATTTACTGAATGTATACTCAAATCTATTGATACATTGAAACAATCATTTTGTTTTCATGCCATAAAGGAAGTTTTTTTTTTTTTTTTACAATAATGTTTACCCTGTACAAGGCCCAAGGGCCACTCAAGGTAGAGGGCTACAGAGTAATAGACACAGGTTGTACAGATATGTATGGCAGATAGCAGTTAACTCTAGACTTTAATAAGTTTTAAGATTGTGGTGATTGGGGAAGCAACCACTTGGCAGTGGTTTGTGGGAAGAAGCTGCTCAAGTGGAACTTATATCTTACCAGGGGAATATGAAGTAAATGAAGATGGTTCACTATAATGTGTGTGACATGGCAGATCTTAACCATGAAGATTTGGACTGGTGGAACTAATGAGTGTGGTTCATTTGAACGCTCTCTATAGAAATAGCGATAGAGCAACAAGAGGCTTGTAAAGTCTTGTTTGTGAGAAAGGGGTGGTAGGGTGGAAAATAATTCATCACCTAGAAGAATGCAGAGATATTTTTGGACTTTATCGAGATCAGAAAGTGAAACCTGTTTATATATGGCAGCAGTACCCCATTTTCAGCCTGATCTGACTCTTGTAAATATAGAGGATAGCAGCAGGAGTGAGTTACTTACTATTTAAAGATTCACTGTAAGAATGAATTGTTCACCAGACATGTTTGCTTTAAATTTTTGCATATTTTGTATTTGGAAGTAGAATTACATTTTGTGGCAGCTTAATTTCTTTAATGTGCCTCTATAGAAGGTTGTGTGTTAAATAAAAAAAAAAAATGAAAAATATTTGTACTATATATTCATCTTAAAAGTGAAGTTTGACATTTCTTTAATACTTAATATTCTTCAAATAATGATCTGGTTAGTGTGTACAATGGTAAAATAATATTAACTGTACCTGTGAAAATTCCATAGAGTTTTTATAGCACTGATGTTCAGATTAAAATGACTAAGTATTGTTTATTCATCATTGAGATTGACATCACAAATAAATTACTTATATATGCTTCTTTGCAATTTTAATTATTCATGTCAAAATACTTTTGACATGGAGTTCTTAAACACCAGGTGGAGGAGAAGAAAGGTCTGAAAGCTAAATTTACTTATCCAAAAATATTTACAATGACTGCTTACACTCATTTTATACTATATAGGTAAATGTTCTAATAAAATCTGCAATAATTAATAATAAAATTTCAATTAGTCATGATCATGTATGTACATACAAATTATTTTTTCAATCCTCTGGTTTATTCAAATTTAGAGAAAACATTCACAACTACAACACTGAATCTTCATTTGTGTCCTTTGATGCAAAGATAAATGTCACACTTGGTAGAGGAACATATTATTTCAAACTCATCATTATATTGTCAATGTTCATCATGTAACAGAACAAAAGCAATATGGCACTCACTACTAAATTAAATCTGAATAAATCATCCAGATTTTTAAACGGATCAATTATAAATGAAATTAAATAATCAAGATGATTGTTTAGTATCCGGATTATTTCTTAAAAAACTCTACAAACTTATCCTCTTTACTCTTGTTAATCCATAGAATTTCAATCAACTATCAAAATTGATAATGATAAAAAATATATGAAAACATTTCCAACAATGCTAGGCTTAATATTGGTTTGAAGAATTTATAAATTTTTACAAACTCAATGAAATTGTATATGTCTGAATGGGGTCAATGGGAATTGCAAATTGGATTTATAGTATTGATGCCTTACATTTACAATAACTATTGATAAATGCCCTTGAGGAAAAATTTGAAACACTCAAAATGTTTATAGTACAATCTTTTTAATGATGATTGTTGTTTTTTTTATAAAAAATCAGATTAAATTTTTTTTTTTTTTTCATAAATCAAATTAAAAATGCATAAATATATTTTAATATTTAGAAATTGTTATTTATTTTATGTATATTAATTTAAAATGTAGTCTTTTGGTTTGTTTTTTTTTTTTTTTTTAATTCAATTTAAAGTATTTTATCTTATTTTCTTTGTAGGTAAAACTGTTGTGATTAAAACTGCGGTAAGTTCAATTTTGATAGTGAATTTTGATACTGATTTACTTTTATATTTTTTTCTTATTCATAAAAACAATGTCTTAATGACTTGTTGATGTGTTTAACTCAGTTTATTGAGGGTTTAATATTTTTATTTTTCCTATAACAAAAAAGAAAAAAATATTTAGCATTGATATTTTTTGGTCAAAATGAATCTATTAAATGAGGTTTACAGAAGATAACTGAATCAAGATCATTTTAATCTTCAATTATAAAAATGAAGGCGCTATTTCTAATTTGTATTTCCCATGAAAAGTTCTAAGAAAACTGAATCCGGTTTACATCTTGATTTTTTTTTTTTTCTTTATCATCCTTCCTCTTGTTGATTGCTTTTTTTAATTTTGGCTCTTGACATTAAACACAAGTAGACAATACACATGTTTTTCTTAATCTATATACAGATTGTTTCTTTGTTGTTGTTTTTTGTCTAAAGCCAAATTTAGTCATTTCTTTTCTTTTGCCTGACAGTTCTTTCATAAATATAGTCTCCACTATTGGAAATAAACCTGTATTTTACTAATAATTGCTTATTTGATGATGAGAAAACTAGAAAAAAAGATATCTTGTCTAAAATAACTTTCAAAATAATCATTAATCTTTGTTGAATAATTTGATTTAGTCAAATCCATTTTTAACAAGATAAAATGAAAAGGACTGGATAAATATGATAATTAAAGTCTGTTATGTTAGCCATAAATTGCATAATTATCTTTCCACCATTTTGTGTTCTGTCTATGGTAATTCAGTTAAGTCTAACCTTTTTTCATTAACTTTAATTTTTTTTATACGTCATGGTTCCCCATAATAAAAATTGTACTCTTCCACTTTTGCTACTAATTTTCTTTAATTTTAGTTCTTTTACCTGTTTTTTATTTGGCATTTCTTTCATAGGGGTCTGAGGGATTCCGTAATGCCCGCAAAGGAACCAACATTGCTGGCCAGGCAGCAGGGATTGCTGCTGGAGAGGTAAGAGTTATGTACTGAGTATCAAAGTTAGCTGCCATTTTCCAAAAGCAAGGTCTTTTTCATGATCTTTAAGTTAATCTTTATCTATAATTTCATTCTATCTTGTAATGAAATGCTTAAAATATTTAATAGCCTGACAGATAGGTTTCACAGATTTTAAATTAATGGAAACTATAGAAAAATTGTATTTTATAGAAAATATAATAGTAGGAGAAATTAAATCAACTCTTTGTATAAATTATAATCTCTATGAGTTAGATTCATTGTTAACACATTTTGTTGATGACTGTTATATATATTAATGTTTGTTTGTACTTCTCAGACACTTTAGATACCAAAATCCCATATACAGACCTGAAACCAACAATCAATAAATATATTAGAGAGGAATGACAGAACCTATGGAACACCTCTCCAAACAATAATTTGTTCAAAATTAAACTAACTATAGGAGAATGACATCAGAAATACCAAGCTAGAAGAAAAGCAGTGATTATGTCCATACTATACATTCGTAAATCCTAAAAAAAAGGAAGATCCTCAGGTATGTGTGACATGCCAAAAGCCATTCACCATAAAACCCATACTGATAAATTGCAGCAATTATAATTCAATCCACTTAAAATACTACCAAACAAAAAACAAAGAACTTTTTGAAAATACTGATTCAATTTACATATTTCATTTTCTAAGAGAAATTAAACTAATTTCAAAAATAAAATGAAAAAAAAAATAAACATGACAGCTGTCTTACTATTTAAAATAAACATTTTTTGACTGTTTAAATACAAGACTTTATTTAAAAAACATTAAATTTCAGCATTAAATTACCCAATGGGTTGATATGCTGTAAAGCAAACCAAACTATATGATGTAACCAACATCTGCTATTACAAGTTGTCCATTATTCCAGTAACAATTATATTGACAATAAAAATTAAGTGAAATGATTGTCTTTGCATGTTGGGTAAAATAGACAATTGTTTATTTTTTTTTTCCACAACCTTGAATATTTGAAAATGTCTTGCATTTTTAATATTTATGTCTCTTTCATTTAATTATTGACCCAGCAAATAAATAAAAAGGCAGAAAGCAAAAAATGTTTGTCTATAAATTTTAGCTGAATAAAATCTCAATTTTGTTCTGTTTGTATTTTTAAAAGGTGTTTTTTTTTTTTCTTTCTTTTTTTCTAAATTGTAATAATATACTGTGGAATTACCATAGCACCCTGAAAGTGAAAATTAACTTGCTAACAGCATTTAGAAATGAGGAAATAAGTTATCTTCAGATACAAAAATATTTTTTTATATAAATGTATGTAAAATATTCAATGTATTCGAGAAGAAAAGATTGAATTTTGTATTCTTTAGAATTTATCCAACTCTGTCAGAAATAATTTCTTGTGATTCTTGGAAGATTGTCAATATTACTAAGTAAATCAATTTGTATTTTAAATTATCTCTATAACTCAATAGATTAATTGAAATTTTAAAGGCTTTTAAGATAAACTTCCTCTTCAGAGTCTTGTAATGTATTGTAACTTTTTATGAAAAATGGCCTTTCAGCAGTATTAAAGCAAGAACAGAATTATATTTGAAAAAAAATAGTTGTGGTACACCTTTTTAATCATTTTACAGAAATTTTCTATTGCCCTTCCTAATGCTCTTTCTACTTAGTTATTTTTTAATATGATCAGTGCACTGAAATCCCCATAAAACCCATTGTCTTATGTCAAGAATACTTATAAAATGTTTCAGTTACTGGCAAAGGGAAAAATTTTAGTGCTATAATTTCTATTTTGTTTATCATCAACATGTAAATTACTCAATACACTTGGGTAATACTTGAATTCATATCATAGTCAAATAATCACCTTTTTTTTTTTTTTGCCTTCTTTTCAAAGAAATTTTGATTTTGCATTTATTTCACGTAAATGTCTTTCTAACAATTTAGAAATTGCGTCTCTCTCTCTCTCTCTCTCTCTATATATATATATATATATATATATATATATATATATATATATATATATACACATACACACACAAAATTCTTAACATTCTTTTTCTTCTTTATTATGACTATTTGGTTCTTTTGTAATACCTGTATTAAATAGTAACCAATTTGAAATTTGATAAAATCATATTTTATTCTGCATGTCATGTTATCCTTATGAATATTAGTAGAAAATTAGGTTCTTCCTGTTCTATACAAAAATGTTATTTGTGGAGAAGTTGTTGGAAGTGAAAAGCAAACTGTTCATCTTTATATTAATTCCAACATCTATACTTGGGATAAAAACTTGGTGCTGATGATCAGTTATTTAGACTTTATCTCCCCATTGCTCTTAAAGTGCAGGTTGGGTATTTTAAGCATTTTAATAATTTATAATGAACTACAATTTTAATAACATTTGTTGTGTTTTTAAAAAATGATGGAACATTTGGGTTACTATTATGTTATAGTATTTTCCTTTTGTTTGATTTAGCAAAAAAATTCAGGAATAATTTTGGACAAATTCACTAGGGAACAAGTATTTTATTGAATGATATCTGATGCTTGATTCTAGGTAATTTTCAGTTTGGTTCTATCAGGTCCTGATTCTTGTCAACAGCCTATGTGCCATTTTCCATCATGAATATAAGCAGTTCAAACTACAGTACATTATAATGATAGAAATAACTTAAAATAAACAAAAAATAGATATGAAACTTTCACTGTGGAAAAAATTGTCTTTTGCAAGACTTTCTAGTATATTTGCTTGTTGATGGCAGGTCTTTTCAAGCACCAGCAGTAATCAGCTTCATGTGGGAATCTCGGCAGCCTTGGTACCATTCCTCCATAATTTTGATATCTTGGTGGAATCTGTCCCCTAGTTCATCATTTAATCACCTAAATTACTTGGAAATTGGTCAAGATGGCTATTCAAAAATTCATTTTTACACTCGTATTACAACCTAACTCTTTGTAATCCCTTACAATTTTTTTTTTTATGTTTTCTTCTTAGTTACCTACTCTATAATTACCTAAAAGTTTTCTATCAAGTCTACGAATGAAAACCAAGCATTTGCTTGTGTTCATTCTCAACATTAAGTAAATTGCTGTCTTTAATTAATGTTTGTATTCGTGAACCGTTGAAAATTCCCACCTTGATTTTTATTTTTTTTTTTTTTCATGACTTGAGATTTGGAGGTTATGTATTTGAAACACTCGTCATTTGTATCTAAAGCTTTTACATATTGTTTAATGAGGCCTAGTTTGATATGCAGAGGAGGAAATATGATTTTATCTCTGCTTACTAAAAGTGGATTTTTTTTTTTTTTTTTTTTTTTTTTTTTTTTTCTGTCAGTAAGTGATGTTTGTGCTGGTCAGATTTGTTTGAAATATTGTTCTTCCTTAGCTTTTCTGTCCCATAAGCAAAGGAAACAGGGATATTTAGTATACTCTCCTTGTTGTCCTAGCAGAAAATTAACCATTTTTAAGTCAACACATATGATCTACTCATGCTCCCTATATATGATAAGATTTAAGACCTTTTCTATATGTTCACATATTTCTTTTAATTTTGTTGAGTGCCCAATCAGTATTGAGCCGTATAGATTGTCATTATGCAATAACACACACTTAAAACTTTTCAAAATGTCTAAAAGCAAGCATCAATCATTTGCATTGTAAGACTCAATTTCCATCATCTTTAACAAACCAGGTATGTTGCAGCAATATAATAAACTATTCTCTGTTCTCAAATATTTAAGTTCTTCTCTTTTTCTGTAAAATGAAATATGTGTGTGTTTGAAGTAAGCAACTCTTTCTCTTTAAGTCTTTAAACCTTTTTTGGCAAATTTAGACTCCATACAAGATCATTCAACTTGGCCTAGTTAAACTTTTGCGGATCATTTTGACTTTCAAATATACTGGGGTCAAAATCAGTGTCTGACTTCTCAGAGTGCATAACAATATTTTCAAGAATATCTTCAACTAATTCTTGAATTGGCAAACCCTTAAATTTTACAATGAGGATCTCATTTGAATGTAGCACAAGCCATATCACAGTGTCAAAATTTGGATACTTGATAGTTTATTTTTCTTAGTGAAGCCCAAAGCAAAAGTAGTAATCGGTCTCCTGATTAGTAGGTTCTTGCCACATCTGACATGGAAAAAATTGTAAAGCATTAACAAAAGCAACTAGAGACTTGTTTTTATGAATTTTATCAAAAGTTGTCACCCAAAGATTTAACATTTTTAAGTGTTTCAACCTGCTGTAATACTTGAAATTCTTATAAACATTTTTTGTTTCTGTACCTAAGTTAGAATTACACTTAGGTAAGCTACAGTATACTAGTGATTTAATTACATAGTTTTATGAAATCATAAACTTACCATAGGAACTCCAAACACTTATTGCAGTATTTTAATGCACATAGTGCAGGCTTTAAAGCTGGGGGGATTAAGATAAATTGTGGGCTCCATAGCCCACAATTTATCTTAATCCCCCCCAGTTTTATGCCAAAATAAGCTAAGTATTCTCTTTTTACAAAGTAAGTTATATTTGCTCATTGATGTTAAAGTGTAAAATTTCCACATATAAAACCAAAAGGAATTGGGTTGTTTTTACATTTTAACTTTCTAGTGCTTGATGACATTGATTGTTCTCCCAATTTGTAAAGTTATTCAAAGCCCTTAATTCATATAAATTTAAGAAAATCTGAAATATAAACACAAAAATTGGCTTAAATAGGAACTTGCAATCTATGAAATTAAATTATAAACATGGATGAGTAAGTTCAATATAAATTATGTCTAATTAAATCACGATGACAAAATTACTAAATAATATGCCAATTCGAAATTGTTTATACCCAAACTTAATTAACTGATTGATTGAATTGGCTGATTAATTCCGGAAACAAGTCGCTTTTATATATTTTAGTTATCCCTCTAGAATATTCTACAGAAATGGGAAAAGAATTCTATATTTTTAGCTTAATTTACTTATATTAAAAATGACAAAATTAAAAATATTTTTTTGTGTAACATCAGAAAGACTTAGTGAGTATTGAGAAAAAACCTTTTTATGAATACAACGAAAGAGAAAGGGTCTTTAGCAAAATGGGCCTGATAGAGCAGAACCAAGTAAAAATTTGTGCTCAGCATACTCAAATTAAATAGAAATGTCAAATCTAATTCAATAGACAAAAAATTGAAATTTGTTTCCCAGTGTTATCTTTTTCTTTCAGTTTTTCTATAAACCATACAATATTGCTAAGATTATTGCCATTCTTGTAGTAGTTATAAGTATCAACTTGGTTGTTATTCAAGTGTTGAGTTTGTTTGATTAGTTTGTATCCTTTCTCTTACTTTAAATCATTTATTTTTCATTTCATTCTGAACAAGGTTAAGCTGGCTAATTTTGAGAGAACTAATTTGGCTACAAGGCTTACCTGCTCTGCTCTAGAACCATCTAATAAATTGTAGATATAGTTTAATAAATTCATTATTATCTACAAACCATTTTCATAAATAATACTTAGAGAAATAAAAGGATAGACTGAATTATAATCAAATTAATTCTTTTGATTATCTAAATATATACACCTACAATTTGGTTTTTAACAAACCAGAAGTAAATTCTGATTTGCTTAAAAAAAAAACAAATTGCATCTTGTTTCAAATTTATTTCACTTCTTGATATTATGAAAATCATTTTCTCTGTCTTCATTTCTGTTTATTTTTAAGAGATTTTTGCCATTTAATTTTGTAGAATATTATCAATATGCTCTTCTAAAGAGTTTCTAGAAGAAATTCTGAACTTTTATCAGAAAATCAGTATGAAAATATGATAGAACTTTGATACATATTCTTCAAATATGAAATGAATCACAGTAGTTTATCTTAAAAGATATCAGCAACTTAAAGTGACATGGGCAAATAAAGAGTTTCAGAGTTTGGGTGATTTTTATTATAATTTTAAAACTGAAATTATAGTAAAATCACCCAAGACCTTTTTGTTGAAACTGAATGTTTAAATCCATAAGTATCTTCAATTTTTTTTTTATCTGTGTCAAGTTGTCTTCTTTTAATATTAGTATTAAAAGCTGCCATAAATAGTCTCTAAGTTTAAAATAAAAACAAATTACACATTTTATTCATACTATAAGGATTTTTTTTGTGACATTATCATTTAAAAAAGTAAATCCTTAATTTCTTGATTTGATTTATTCTACCTATATTTTTAGTATTAACAATAGATCTACAAAAGCATAAAGTCAGCCAAAATTTAAATATCTAAAGAAATGACAATTTTTTTTTTAAGGTATTTTAACTTGATCCTCTGTTTCAGAAAGTTTTCTAAAACCTTTTAACCTTACCAAATGTTAAAACTAAAGTATTTATTTGCTCATCTAACATCTTTGTAAATGAAACTTCAATTATTTTGATGTTATCCATTTTATTTTGGCAGAAAGCTGTTAATCATGGAATAAAATATATTCGAGTTTGTGTCCAAGGTATTGGTCCTGGAAGATTGGTAAGTATTTGTATTTCTTATAATTTATCAACATTTTTAATATTTCTTTATTTGAATAGTTTTGGTATTATTATTATAATGTTGACAAAAAATTAAGATATAAATAACTGTATTTGCCAAGATAATAAAGAATATAACAAAAAGAAAACCTTTTATGATAATACATATTCTTCCTTGTGGAATTTCATCAATATAGGAAATTTTACTTAGGGGCCTGTATTTATACACACAAAAAACAGTATTGTTAAGAAAAAATAACATTTAAGATTTGGATGAGAGAATACTCTAAAGTATTTCAATATCTCTTGCCATTAAGGAAAGGAAAACTAATATCTTTTTTTTTTTTTTTTTGAGATTTTATTTTTAAGATTTTTATTAAGATTATTATTTATCTCATGCCTCTCTGTTCTTCCATTGCACTTTGCTTATATCTTCTCATTCTCCCCTTTATCTTTTCTAATCTTTGTTACCTATCTAAATTTTGTACAAACATTAGCATAATAGGAATATTTTCTATTATATCTTTTTTGTTTCTTTTGAGCTCTCTTAATGTACTTCTATATATAGAAGGTCCCTGGAACAGAAGCTACTTACACAAAACCTCATTTAACAATGGAAAATATGCAAATAACACAATACTCTCAAAGTACATATGGGACATCACAATGCAAATATAACATAGAAAATAGGAAAAACAGTACCAGCTTATAACAACACCTCCAAAACAATTTAACCTTTGCTTAAAGGGGGAAATAACAATAATAACCTTTCCAGAACAATATAAACATATTTCCAAATTTGTAGGAAAAGAGTTTTGAGTTGTAATGTCTTGCCATCAGTGAAGCAATGGGGACTGAACTAGTCAAAATAATAGATTTATTAAATCTAAGGAATCTGTATATTTTCAATTTCAATCTTAACCACTTCATCATTAAATTAAATTTCTAAATATTTTGTTTTTGTTGTTGAATTATTAAAATTCTTTAATAATTTCATGTGTTCACATGATCTGATATTTTGACTTTCGTGACACAAAATTTTGAGAAAAATAACTGAATCTTGGCTTGCAGGGTCAAGTTTAAGTTTGAAAGCTTTTTCAAATTTGCCCTTTTTTCATTTCTTCTTTTTTTTTTTTAACTGGAAATAATTGGTGAAGATATCTGATATCATTTAATATTGTCAAGAAAAGCAAAAATGACCTACCTAGGGCAATGGTACCTTAGTCCCCTTCAAAGTGCTCTACTTGAGACTGAAGACACTTTCAGTTTTCAAAACAATCTGCAAAGTATTTTCTGGAAATTGACATTTAACAGGTTCTTTACATTCTCCTTCAGCTTGTCCATAATCTGAAATGTCACTTTTAGCTTTGTGGAAAGCTAGAAGTCATAGCACAGTGGTGTCCATTTAATTGGTTTGGAACACTGATGAAGTCAAATGAGCTGTACATTATTTTATCTGGGCCTTAAGTGACAGGTATTTTAGGAATACCAATAAAAACAAGATGTAAGAACTTCAAACCACATTAAGGAAAAGTAAATAAATAAATTAAATGAAAACTTTTTGAATCAAGCACCACTTGGCTGGAAGGTAGAGAATTCTAGTTGTGGGTTTATTGAGTCAGGCCACATTCTAGATAACAAGCAGAATCATGACTAGAATAAGCAGTGTGGAGATATTTGTCCAACAAATTACAGCAATAAAAATCAGTTGGCAGAAGTAAGAATAACAGGCAAAAGAACCTAAGTGCCACCTATATACGCCTCATGTTTGAGTATATTGGAAGCCAGATTGATATATTCTTTTCTCACCATGGTGTCATTTCACCTTTTGTCTCTCCGTTATTTATACCTGGCCTTTCCCAGTTTTTCTTCATACCAATGCAAATGGTGGCTAATGTGTGACAAAAGCTGTCTAGTTGGTGAAAGGGCCATGGACTTATGTTCACAAGGAAAGCAAATTAAGACTCTAAGGGGGCTGACAGACTTGGGTGATGTAATGTTTTTCCCAAATCCCTGCACAAGGTGTGAAGAAATGTCAAGATGAATGTAACATCTGAGAGCATCACTTGGTTTCACAATTAAATAAAGGCCTTGCAACTGGTTCTTAAGATATTCTAACCTCCTATAATGACACAGACAACCAGCTGTGCCTGATGTTATTTACCTAAGCTTTTCTCAAATCATGATAGCCTACCACTGTGCAAATCAAGCTCACTATCAGTGTGACTGTAACCAACAAAATGAAAAAACTTCTCAGAATAAATAAAAGAATATTAGATTTTTTTGTTTATTCATAGGCAAATTAGTGTGTCTGAGGTTGGACCTATAAGTCTGTAGTTTGATACACCTGAATTTTTATCCAGAATTTTCACAGTTGGTTAAATTAATGTGCATTTACCAGAAATTATTTTTTTTTAATTTTTTTCAGAAGTTAAAAAAACAAATTATAATATTGAACAATAGTAGTCCTTTGTTTTTTTTTTCTTTTTCTTTATTTCTTAAGCAACAAAAACTCCACATAGTAACACTCTATCTTGAGTGACTGTTGGGGCTTGTATTGGGTGACTGTTAGTAACAAAAAAAAAAACCAAAACAAGAAACCCTTATTTTATTTTGTTTACTTTTTTACTATTAATTCAGTATAGTTGATTTCTTTCTCTACTATTTATCATTCAAACATTTTTAACAACAACAATAATAATAAACAAAAAAGTCTTATATATATTTGATAATTTTATTCTTTTCTTATTTATTGATTGGTTTTTATTATTTATCATTTAAACAGAATTTATGATAATAGTAATAATCAGGACAGACTGTTTTTTCCAACATCCAGTGTAAGCTATATGTTGTGGCTTATATTTCCTCTCAAAGCAAAGGCCAGAGCAAAACTAAGACTTGTTGCTTCTAAGCCACCAATTCTCAAGAGAAGGATCATTCTAAACCCTTCCCATGTTTTCGGTGGCCTGCCTCATGATGTGTTAATCCCAGAAATGGAAGTCATACTGGAGAAGTTAAAATCCATGACATTAACACATACAAACCTTGTAACTTTTTAAATTTTTAATTGTAAGAAGTTACACGGAAAGCATTTTGTTGTAACATTTATTTATTTTTGACTAATGGTTTCTGTATAGGCAATTTTCCCCTTATTCTTATCATTCAATAACAACACCAACAATAATAATAATAATAATAATAATAAAAATGTTCTTATATATTTTTTATATTTGACAATAATCTTATATTATTTGTTAGATATATACATATTCTTTTCATGTTTATTGATTGATTTCTGTTAATCATCATTTAAACAGAAATTATGATGATAGTAAGAATAAATGTTCCATTTGACAATGAGGTCTTTATCCCAATGTCCAGTGTAAAAATATACACATGTATTTAAAATTAAAATTTTTATTAATTTTAGCTAGATTAAGTGATCTAATTTTATGTTTGATCTCAACTCTTGGGATAACCTTAAGAGGTCATAAAATTTAGTAATTCCCTTTAGCCTGGAAGGGGTCCCAAACAAATGTATGCTGGGATTTATTCTGAGCCAATAAAATAGGCTTATTCTCAGTTTCTTCTGATTCAGTACTGGTCTGAATAAATTTTTACTACTTTAAATGGAGTGCAGTACTGAAACATTTTTTGCTTACATTTTTTTTCTTTTCTCTCTCTTATATATATATATATATATATATATATATATATATATATATATATATATATATATAGATAGACATTTATGAAAGACAAATTTACCTTAGGTTTCACCTAAACGGATCGTCAGGGAAAGTAAGGCTGTGTTTTATCCATTTAGGTGAAACTCTAGGTAGGTTTGTCTGGCTCACTAGGTGTATCTAGGTCTGTTTCACGGTTGTATTGAGCGCTTTTTTTAGTTAGTTGTTTACTTGTATCAGGGTTTTTTCTTTGAGCTTCAGACCTGCATCTGTTTATTTTTTTTGTCGACAGAAGTTCATGTTTGTAGCTCTTTCTTTTTTTTAAAACCTTTTTTTCCCTCGAGATTGATTTGATTATTAACAAATCAAAATTGAGGGTTTTCGAAACGAGTCTATTTATCTATAATTATATATATATATATATATATATATATATATATATATATATATATATATATATACCTCCTTTTATAAAAAAATGTTATATAAAAACTGATGAAATGTTTTGAAATATTATTTTTAAAAAATGATGTAATGAAAATGATAATAAAATAAAAGTTTGAAATATTAAAAGTTGAAAACATATTCAAAAAAGAAAAATATATATGCAAATCAATTGTAAATGCTTATATGTAACTTGTTTGTATTTATTGGTCCCATAAAAAGTGGGGATATGGGAGGGAAAATGAGTACAGTCAGATTAGATTGTGAATGGGGTTGGTTCCAATCCTGTGTGAAATGATTACAAAACACTTTCCCCTCTACAATTTATAGCCAGAAGCACATTCATGCTAGGATTTCTTCTTAGTCAATGAAATAGGCTTGTTCTTGGTTTCATCTGATTCAGACCTGGTCTGTCTTTTCTTGAAGTCAGGACACTTTTCAAAACTTGCTTGTGTGTCAACTCCAATTCTTAGTTTGTGATCTTTTTGTCATACTACTGTTGCTTTGCCTTAATACTGTTAATTTGCTTTGCATATATTGTTTGTTTGCTTTATATTATTTTTTTGCCCTGTTCTTTTTTTCTTTTTCTTGTTTATTGCAAACTTAGTCAATTGTTTGTTGGGCAGTTCTGTCATTTATTTACATTTAACCATAGACACTCACTCTACATCTGACTACTTAATTCTTGTTCTTTTATTGTCCTTTTCCTACAAATGCGCTCTTCAATCTGCACTTGTGGGACACTTCCCAACCCTTTATACCTTAAATAAGTACTAGAAGGTGGGGGTCAATCGTGTTGAGAGGAAAAGACATAGACCACTGCTAAAGTCTATGACTATCATTACTGTCTACAAAATCAGCAGGGATTCAA